TAAGGCTGTCAGAAGGAATCCTGACACCCAGTGGATCACCAAACTGTCCACAAGCACAGGGAGATGCGAGGGCTGGCATCTGCAAGCTGCAGCAGCCATGACCTTTGAAAGGGCCGCAAGTTCCACCACACTATTGGTGGTTCTCGCTGTGCCACTTGGAGAAGGCGCAATACTCTCCAGCTCCACCGCTACCTCGAATATAAGTAATGTTTGTAAAATTCTTACCTAATAAATAATTTAGGACAGTCTAAATAAATAAATAAATAAATAACTCAAGATATTAACCTATTGTGGACTAGACACCATATTTTCTGTCTCCCAGCTTATCCATCCTCCCAGGAGGTCACAGTTAAGATCTTAGGCCACTTGTGTTCCTGTGTAGACAAGACCTACTGAGCACCAGAGTTTTTGAGGTGCATCTTGAAATCTTCACAGGTTTCCTGAGACCTTTCTGGGCTTTCTTCACTTTAACATACTCCTTCAAGGTTGAGGCACTTAATTATACTATACCACTGCCTCTGTGAGAAGGCTACTAGATCATTCTTCTGTGTTCTACCCTTTTGTTGTTTGATTTTCATGGATTCTTTGACTTTATTTTCTAGAGATTCCCTTCCTTAGTCTACTTGTAAATAGAAGCTGGGAGATGAAGTGAAAACACAGTATTGTTCAATATAGGTAAAAATTATCTGTAAGGCATCATCTAATGGCTCCACAGTTGCTTCACACTGGCTCTGAACCTAAACACTCAGCTTTCCTAGAACTAGGAGTGAATTTTGCTTTGTAAGTTTCCAGAATAGACAGTACTTGATAACCAAGACATATAAAGAAAAAGCATCCATCCATCCATTCATTCACCAAATGTTATTGACCATCTGCTATATATTAGCACTGATCTAGGCATGGAATACAGTTGTGAACAGGAGGGGTTTTCCCTACTCTCATGGAGCCTTTGTTCTAAAGGGAGACTGTATGTAAAGCTTATCTAAGGCAAGGCTGCAACCCTCTAGAGTGCAGGTGGCAAACACAAGGCCCCCCGGCCGAATGCTGCTCTCCACCTTGTTTTATCCGGCCTGGCACCTTGTTTCTACCCATTTGCAGCGCCAAGCTCTTGCTTAACTGTTACGGAGTAGTTACATTTGTACAGTCCTAAAATAGCATTCGGCCCTTTGAAAGCAACTGTGAGGCTGATGTGGCCCCCAGGGAAAATGCGTTTGCCACCCCTGCTCTATGGTGTAAGCTCCAGGAGGACAGAGATTTTTATCTGTTCATGGCTGTGTCTCTAGTGCCTAAGCCAAATAACTGCACAATGAGTAATCGTTTAGTAAATGGGCATCCACCAGGTGAAACGGAAACTGTGTCCCCTCCCAAATTAACTGTTTTACAGAAAGAAATGGAAGAAGTAATGTTTAATGAGAAATATTATGATGTAGGGGATCAGATCCCCTACAATGTAGATCATCATTTGTATCTGTTTCTAATTTGCTATATTTTTATTCTAAAAAAAGATTGGCAACTTCATTCATCACAACTACGTACCCGCTCACACATCACATTTCGTGCAGTTTTTTGGAGAAACATCAAATTATCCAGGTGACTCAGTCCCTGCCATAGCCCACATTTGGTGCCCTACAACTGCTGACTTTTCCCAAAACTAAAATCACCTTCAAAAGGGAAGAGATTTTAGACTTTCAGTGAGATTTAGGAAAATGTGATGGGGCAGCTGATGGTGACTGGGAGAACTGTGTGGGGTCCCAAGGTGCCCACTTGGAAGGGGACTGAGGCATCATTATCCTATGTACAATGTTTTTTGTATCTTGTATCTTCTTCAATAAATGTCTCTATTTTTCATATTACATGACTGGATACTTTCTGGACAGGCTTTATATATATAGTTTCTCTATATATATACACACACATATATACACATATATATATGTATATATATATGTATATATATACATATATATATAGAGAGAGAGAATATATATATATTTTCTCTATATATATACACACACATATATATATATATACATATACACATATATGTATAAAATACAGTAAACCTATTGTGCAAAGACTTAAGTATTTATAATATTTGTTTTGTAAAATAAATGGTACTTTTATGTACATGCCAAAGCAACCAAGGATAAAATGGTTTCACAGATTAGAATTTTTTGTGTGATAACATGAAAGGATATTCAGGTGAGCTGCCTCTCTGTAGTTATAGTCAGTTCAGGTTGTAATGGCCATGGTAATTCTGCTGTCATTTTATATAGCCTTCTAATTTCTCAGCCTTCAAAACCTTGAAGGGCTGATACTGAACACATATGGATTAATACATGGTGTTTGTCATCCTCCCCAGCAAAGTGTGTCTCTACTGGGTAAAATGGTGGTAGTCAATCTAGGAATACAAAATACAATGAGAGAGTTTGAAAATAACTTGTGATGGCCCTGGCTGGTGTGGCTCAGTGGACTGAGGGTGGGCCTGCAAACCAAAGTGTCACCAGTTTGATTCCCAGTCAGGACACATGCCTGGGTTGCAGGCCAGGTCCCCAGTAGGCAGTGCACTAGAGACAACCACACATTGATGTCTCACTCCCCCTCTTTCTCCCTCCCCTCCACTCTCTCTAAAAATAAATAAATAAAATCTTTTTTTTAAAAAGAGAAAGAAAAGCTGGAAAACTTGTGAATAGGGGATCAGCTTCAATGTCAGATATCTCTTAACCTGAAATGAATTCAAGACACAGCTGGAAGTTCCAACACTTAAAGACTAAGCATATTGTGAAATACCACTGCTGAAATGTTGGTCACAAGCCATGGATTATTTAGATCATGAGCCACAGGTCAAGGATAGTTCACATTTGCACAATATCTAAGTGAGTAGCTAGTGAGTGCACTATATAGATGTGCGTAAGGCTCCCTACCACTCCTGCAGAAGTCACAGTGGAGGAGAGGGATCGTCAGTATAGACAAAACTACTTTATTTTGGGAAAAGATGTTCATACACAGACAAGCAAGTAAATAGAAAATATCTGAGAGATAAGAATAATCTTGGTTTTAAAAGTTCTGCAAGAACTGACTCATTGTTGATATAATGCATCTCAGGACTAAGTTCAAACTCTTCTTAGTTTACCATGAATCCTAGGTCCCCTGAAAAAATCTTCAGAGAACAGATTGAAAACCCCAAACTCTTTTTTTATAATACATTGGTTGCAGAGGCCATTAGTTTCATTGAAAATGTTCAAGTCACAATTTTAAAGTGGTTTGTGATGTTGTCATTATTAAATACATGAGCAGTGTCTTATTATAACACTTATGAAAATAAAAACAAAATCCAGGCATATTTGGATGAATTTTTAAAAGATTGTAAGGAAGCCATAAGAGTCAGGACTGAGATTGTAAACTTCTCCTTCTCTCTCATGAAAGTGATCTGCCCATGTTTATTACCTCTATGGAGTCATTTTGGACTCGGGAACGAATTGTCTCAAGACCTAACCTGCCCACAAGTTGAAGGGCTCTTGTTCTGTGCAGAGCTGGCAGAAGTTTTATTCCAGTCTACAGAAAAATGAGCTCACCTACCAGCAAAGATGAACACAACAGTTGTCTCCCTCATATTAAAAGTAGATATATGACACTTTTGAGTCAAAATATGTATGTGTTGATTTTAAATTGTTTTTAATAACTAAAAACACTTTTAAAATAAAATGTGACCTCATACAGGGTGTCTCCTTCACCTTCACCTTTTCTTTCTATCGTCATTCCTGGTGCGTGTGGGGAGCAGATAGAGGGGTCTTTTGGACATAATACAACATAATAAAAATTATCCCAAAGGAAGTGACAAATTGGCCCCACGGATTACCAGTTGTGCCAGGGGAAGTATGTCGTTGCAGTAGCGCCATCTGACAGTCACGTCTTGACCCGGCATCAAATTGTAGCGTTGCTAAGAGTGGGGCAGTGCAGCATTTTGTGCCTCCTCGATTGATGCAATGTGAAGGTCATCATATTCCATATAAAGTGTCCCTGCAAAAAATGCTTGCCCTGCACCTAGGCAAACTTCTCCAGACTCAGCTTTCAGTTTGCAAGCAAAGTAGGGACAAGTTAAATGACACAATGAAGACGTAATGTGAGAAATTCCAAAAGAGAGACATTTTATAAGACACCTGCCCTGGTCTCTTGAAAAAGTCAATGATTTTTATGAAAAAAGTTAATGGTTTTTATTTTTATTTCATGAAAAATAGGGAGAGGCTAGTCTAGATTTAACTGAGACATAAAAACCAAATGCAGTATGTGAACCTTGATTAATTCTGGTTTGGGGGGAAACAGATTATAATAGATATTCTAGGGACAATGGAGAAATTTGCATATGGATTTTATGTTAAATGGTATGGCATTATTGTTAGTTTTTTTAAATTTGATAGTGGTCATGTGGTTATGTATGAGATGTTCTATGCCGGCAATTTTTAAGCTTTTTTATTTCATGGCACACATAAACTTCTAAAATTCTGTGGCATGCCAAAAAATACATATTTGGCTGATTTGACAAAAAAATAGCTATAGTTTTGATTCATTCACACCACACAGCCATTGTTGCACTGACTGTTGTCATTTTTATAGTTTGACAATCGAAGGGAAAAGAGGTCAGTGCCCCTGACTAAATAGTCAGGTACTGCACGTGTTAAAAATTCTCGTGGCGCACCAGTTGAAAATCGCTGTTCTGTGCTTACAGGGTGAGTGCGGAAGTGCAGAGGGATGAAGTCATGTTTCTGCTGCTGTGTGTGCTTTTGTGCTGTTCTTTCTGCTTTCCAGTATGTTTGAATGTTTTATATGTATTCTACATGCTGAAGTAAATACATAAATACTATTCTGTAGTTCATTATAGAAATACATGGAGATATATAAGAAGGAGGGAGTTGACTTTTATTCTTTAAGAAGAAAAGGTTTGGAAGCACAAAATAATTTTTAAAGCACTAATGAATTCACTTTTTCTTTTTCTATTTTAGGCTCGAGAGAAAGGGAGGTTAAACTATGCTAAGGTAGGTACATTTTATTTCTACTACGCAGTTTTCTACATTTCAATTTGGTGTTTGGTTTTTGTTTATATTTGAAAAGTGAAAGAATAATCATATTCAAAGCTGAGGGACATTTCCCATTAAGAAACAGGCATTCGCAGGTAAAATAAGATTCATTCAACAGTAAGCTTATTCGTTGAGTGCCTGCTTCATTTCAGACACCATGTTTGGTGTTGGGAACACAACAGTGAACCGATCCAGTCTTTCCTTCCAGGACATTGACAGTCTTGTGGGGACACAGATAACTAAGAAAAACTAAATGGATACATAATGTAATGCCAGGTGGGGTAAGTGCTACAAAGAAAAATAATAAGCAGGGTAAGATCATGAAGCGTTGCTGGAAAGAGTCTTTGGCCAGTGGGTGGAAGAGAGCTTTTAGTGCCATGAGATCAGACTCTGGCTCCTAAAGGCAGCGATTCTCGCGTGGCCTGTGGAGCGTTTGGAAACACACACACACACCTAGGTCAGCACTAATGATCGTCGTTCACCAAGATGAGAATGCCCAGGTGGGAAGAGCAGGGTAGGGATAGGATGGAAGGGTTTGAAAAAAGGTGCCACCGATAACTTGACACACAGCCTTGGTTAAAAACGGCCTGAGGAGTTCAGATTTCCGTTTACCAGTGAAGCCTAGGAACACCCTTGGGTCACATTCTGTTTTCCCCTCAGACACAAATGGAACATTTTAGCAGGTGTGTGGGATGCGTATAGCTGCTTGGCTAAAGGAATGTGTTAACCATCTGGTTTATGCAGCAGCAGGAATATCCAGGGTGTGAGCACACCTGCACTCCAAAGACAGAGGGGGAGAAATATGACCTGTAAGGGCTCTGCTGGCAGGGGGCAGCCGAAACCCACAGCGCTCTTGCAGGGCTGACCCGCAGCCCTGTGCTCTCCTGGCAGCTCCCACCATTACTGTTACAGTACCTTTCCCTGTGTGAAATGCAGTCCCTTCTTTTCTCTGTTTCACAAACTTCTGCCTCCTTCAAGAAAAGTTAGGTAATCAGAGCACCTCTAAACCAAGGACTTCCATACGTGTCACTTTGTCTTAAATGTCTGCCTGAGTCTTATCACATACCCACACGTGGCCAGTGGACGTATCCTCTTGGGTCTCCCACAGGCAAAGGAGCTCAGTGCATCTTGAACGGAACTCAGCACCCTCCCCACATCTCTGGTCTTTTTTGTTTTTTAATGGATTTATTACTCAGAGCAGCTTTAGGTTCAGAGCAAAATTGAGTGAAAAGTACAGAAAGTTCCCACTCAACCCCACACATGTGCAGCTTCCCCCACTCAGTGTTCTGCACCAGCGTGATGCATCCGTTATGATCCGTGAACACACTGACACGTCAGTATCACCCAAACAGAGTCCACGGTGTGCCTGAGGGTCCACTTTCAGTGTTCTCTCTCTGGTCCTTGTAACTTGTTCTCTCCTGTCACACCAGTCAACCATGGGAGAAACTTAGACGTCGCCCTAGAGTGCCCCTGCTCCCTCGCCCCTATGTTCCATGACCAAGTCGTGCCAGTTTTATATCCTAAATTTTCTTGAATCCAGCCCCTCCTCTTAATCTGTCTTCCATTGTTCAGTGTAAGTCTTTTCATCTGAACCACTGGAGAACCAACCGACTGGTCTCCCTGCCTCCCTTTTGTCCCCATGAGTCCATTCCCACTCAGAATGTCTAAAATCTGACAGGTTCACACTCCAGCTTCATGCCCTTCATTAGCTCCATGTTGTCTATAAAGCAGTTTCAAAGCTTGCTCGAGTGACACATAAAGCGCTCTGTGATCTCACCCCCAGAGGGACTCTGCAGCTTCTTCCCCTATACCCTGTGCTCCCGCAGCACCAAATTACATAAAACATACTGTTTCTGTTCTTCGTGCCTTGACTCATACTGACCCCTCTGCTTGCAGTGTTCTTCCCCTTTATGTGGCTCCTCCTGCTCCTCCTGTAAAGCTTAATTCAGCATCACCTCCTATAGGAAGTCCTCCCTGGTTCCCTAGGCAGGATCGGGTGCTTTCCTCCAGGCGTGAATACATTGTGGATCTCTCAGCCACTGCACTTACTCTCTGTTCTTATGATCCATGTATGAGACTCATCAGAGACTGTGAGCTCCTTGAGGGCAGGGACAGTGTCTGTCTTTGTATCCTTGGTACCTAACACAGTGCAAGGCAAATGGTGAATGGTGTGTGAGTAAATGGTGAATGGTGCCTAACACAGTGCAAGGCAAATGGTAAATGGTGTGTGAGTGAGTGAGTGAGTGAGTGAGTGAAACCATGAGTAAGAAAATAGAAGACACGTGACGTTAGTTCCGGGAGAAAACCTGGTACAGGGCTTCTGATCCCAATCAGAGAAGAAAGGAAGGCTTTTAACACATGTTGCAGGCATCAACCAGATGGAGAAGGTTGCTGGGGAAGGTTACAATAAACTAGTTTGGAGTTACAGACTGGGATTTTACTGTCATGTAAAAAAGAAAGCTTATTTATGAACAAAAAGTGAAGCAAAGCCATCACAATTTGACAATCGAGTGATATTGATCATCAGTGCTTATTCATGACTCAGAGAACTCCTTTAGGGTTTCTTATTGCAGAAGCATGTGACAATTGGAAGAGTTCGAAGAAAAGAAAAATATAGGGTGCCCAGATCAAACACCCCCAGACCAAGCTCTGCCACAAACTCACCGCAAAATCTAGTATCAATCACTCAACCTCTTTGGTCTTCTCTCAGTTTTAGTATAAAATGAGCAATTTAGAATAGTGCTGCTTTACTCTTTAGGTCCATTCCAAATTTGAGAGGAGACATCCTTTCGGGGGATGAGGACATTCTTATCTTATATATACTACTGAGGTCCTGCTTCCTTCCATTACCCACTTCACCCACCCAAGCGCTGCGTGTTTGATACCTAACACGGCGAGACAGCGTGCTGGCGCTGACCCCCACTGCGAACAAGGCTGACCGGGCCTTGCCGTCCCACGCTTGCTTGACTCGGACCTCCCAGTCTCAAGTAGCCACTCCCCGTTTGCTCTGTTTTTCTTCTTCTTAACATTTATGATTTTTATTTAGTTGCTTGTTTCTTTCTTCTTTTACTAGACTGTGAGAGCCCTGAAAGCCAGGCACTGGGTTGGTTTTTGTTCATGGTCGTAGCACCTGTACCCAGCGCAGGCTTACACACAGGAGTGCTTGATAAATGCATGTGGATGAGCATTGCATTTGTGTTGTGCAGGAGAGGTGTGGGAGACTGGGAGAGGCCCGGGATCAAGAATTGCACGCTCAGATCAGCCTTTGTAAGAGCATAATGACTATACAACACAGCCCACTCCAAGGTGCCGTCGTCCTAAGTTCGCCTTCCCCGATGCCCAGTGGCACTCTTTCTCATGCCGGGAAACAGAAACCCACCACCCTGGAACATGTGGTAATAGTCTGATAGGCAAGGGCTTAACTTCATCTAGGTAATCAATCCAGGCCTATAGTCCTTACCCAGACCTAAACCCAAGTAACATGGGGAAGAAAGGTTATATCCATCTCTACTAAGTGCAGGGGCGATGTGGGCAGGCCGCAACTTGCAGCGTTCTCTTATGCAGTGCGCCACTGGTCCCTGGTAACACCAGGGCCTGCGGTCTGCCCGTCTCTTGTTTCGTGTGGTCATGGTGTTCATGCTGACCAACGCCAGCGTCGTGCTTGGTGGCTTAGGGCTTCCCCAGTGGGTTTATCTGTAAAACTACATTTGAAATTCAGTGGCCATTTCTAGAGACAGTCATGAAATTTATTTATTGCCAAGTTGTATTTACTCATAAGCCAAATTTTATCTGAAAAATGAGGTTTTGAGAACCATAGAAAATTATTTTGGCCATGCGCTCTGTGGCTGGGGATGCCATCTCTCAGATTCTGTGGATCTCAGAATGGCGAGGCAGCAGGGGAGAGGGCAGAAGAGGAGATGGCCGCACACTCAGTCTCAGCTGGATCTGGAGGATGTCTGTCACGTTGAGCAGAACAGCGGTCTGTGCTCAGACCCTCAGATAAGAAATTGAATTACTTTTTAATTGAGTTCCTGTTGCAGTAGAGCCTGGACATGAATGCTTTACACGGCTGCAGTTCCTTTCATCTTACGATATCAAAGCAACCAACAACTCTTAATTCATTAAGTCTCTCCTGCCTCTGTACGGTGGTTGACAAAAGCACAGGAGTACTCTACCCACTACTGAAACTCATCTACCTGGGGGCTGGGCAGGAAGGAAGCTGTTTAACTGTAAGGCGATTCTACCCAGTAGCTTCTAAAATGGAAAAACAGGGAACATGTTACATACCTAGTTAAAACTGCAGCAGGAGCCTTATTAGACAGAATGTAATTACCAGAAGTGAACTGTGACCAGGAAGGCGGTGCTAACAGTTTTACTCACATGCACAGTGCTGAGAGCGTTTTAATGACAGTGACTGGTCTGAAGTCCTGGGCTGTGTCTCAGACCATTCCACGTTCCCTAGGCTTCTGGCCCCAAGGTTGAACACACCTAACTGAGTTCAGTGCTAGAGAGAAGAGTGCTGCCGATTGAACTGTAGGAGTTTGTGGCCATGTGCTGGGACTGGTGGAGAAGCTTCTCGGACCACATTCACACTTGGTTTGCTATGGTAACTAATATATATGTCTGAAAGAAAGCGAATTTGTTGACTACTCTTGCTTAGAAAAACATCGACAAGCGTCTGTGTATTTTCCCCAGCTGGAGCTGAGCGTATGCCTGTAGTTGAGCCTACTGCTATGTGAAATAAGCATGCTGCCTAGAGACTGAGGCAGATGGTATTTTTACCACTTCAGGCAAAACATGGCACCTATGGTTCGGCTTTCTGCAATCTTAATTTTTTAACACATTCAAACTGGCTTGCTTAAATAGCTCCATCAGAGGCTCAGGCAATTTTTCCCAAGTCCCTTTTAATAATTGCTCCAGATACACAGATACGTATAAATACGACATGGTCACAACCA